ATTTACAATTATGTCTGCTAATACATTTCTCATTCCCTGTAGCGATTTTCTCTTCTATTCCATCTGGCTTTTGCTATCAGGATGAAATATTTTTATATCCATAGTATTCTCATGGTTGTATTTTGGTATCACCTGGCAGGACAAAATTCCAAATAAAGTAGTCCTAGAATGAGCCAGAATTTTTAGTATGTATACATTAATGAAACAATAATGTCTACGTTGGCTCATGTCATGAGAATGGTTGATGGCCGGATTCCAAAAGATCTCCTGTATGGAGAATTAGTGCAGGGAAAGTGCCCCAGAGAGAGACCACAGCTGTGATACAAGGATATCTACAAGCGGGATCTGAAGGCCTTAGGAATGGACCTCAACAGATGGGGAACCCTGACATCTGAGCGTTCAGCCTGGAGGCAGGTGGTACAGCATGGCCTCTCCCAATTTGAGGAGACACTTGTTCAGCAGGCTGATGCAAAGAGGCAGTCTCGAAGCCAGCAAAATCAAGGAGCTGAACAGGGGACAGATTGTATTTGTCTTTGGTGTGGAAGGGATTGTCACTCTCGAATTAGCCTTCTCAGCCACACTAGACACTGTTCCAAGACCTCTATTCAGAGCATATTGCCATAGTCTCTCGAAACGGAAGGATGCCTACTCTCAATAACAAATATGGACAAAATGTATAATGTTTTAAACAGAATAGTGCTATTATAGAAAGCAAAGACACCACCAAAAGTAGCCAATTATTTTAATAAAAGTGGTAGCCTTGGAACTTGTTCATTATTCATCTTAAATTGTAATGTGCACATTGCAACCCACATTTCTTTGTGAACAAGCAGGATTGACTTTATTGCTTGAGGAGATTCCCTGGAGGCAAGTTTTGTTACCGAATCAACCAAAATCTAGATCTGCACTCTTGTTTCATTGTCATCTAAATAGTTATAAACAGTTCCTCCAGATTTCAGCCATTTGCCATGCATAGTTCTGTTTTTACCTTATTTACAATTTAAAAAATCACCAAGACAAAAGATATCCTAACATTTTCAAGGCTGAAAAGGGGCAATTTTGGATTCTGAGACAATGAATATAACATTGGAGGAAAGGTACAAAACTTTATGGAAGACACATTGGAGAAGAAAACAAGCAGCAAAATAGTAAAGTACAGTGGGGTCTTGACTTGAGAACTTAATCCGTATTGGAAGCCAGTTCCCAAGTCAAAAAGTCTGTAGGTCAAGTCTCCATTGACCTCCAGTGCATTGAAAACCGATTAATCCCGTAACAGGCCGTTTTGGTTCCATTTTGGTTTTTTTCTGGTCTGTAAGTCAATTCTCAGGCTGCAAGTCAAACCTAAATTTTGCGGCCAGAGAAGTCTGTAACTCAAAAAGTCTGTAAGTCAAGCCGTCTGTAAATCAAGGGTCCACTGTAGAGAGAAATCCCATGCCCCTTCTTCCTTCCTTGGAGCTCCCTGAGAAATGGTAGTGGGCAACCCCTGGAGTTGTTTGTGCAGCAGTTCCCAAGAATAGGCCCCTTGAACCAAGACATCTCAGCTCTTTGTATGAATAATAGGATTAGTCATCAAAACGTAAGCATGTGCTAGAACTACCTGGTATTTTTTTGCCTTGAACTCACCCCTGAACATCTGGGGTGAAAACTTGTACTTTCCCCAAGTAAAATCCAGACACAGAATTAGACAAGGCCAGTTGCACTGATTTCTGTTAATTTGTTCTTTCACCAGATCACCTTTGATAACCTCAGATGTCTATCAGCAGGTTAAGCATTGGGCATGGAGAAAGATCAACACATACCACACCCTGACAGAGGTCTTCTGCATTGACACAACACAAACAAAAACTATTGCTTTTTGTTATTGGGGTCTCTTTTGTTTTTGGTTCTGTTTTGTTTTGGGTTTGTTTTCTATTGTATCACAGATAGGCTAGCTTCACTACCGACTCAAGTAAGGAGTGGCATCATGTATCTCAGCCTTACTAAATATTAAGTTGTGGTCAACTAACCTGACCATTGGGAAAGTCAAATATTTTGGTGGGAGGCAGAGTTGACCAGGAGCCTATAGAGCCTTGCGGAACTATACTGTCTCTAAACACTGCCTGACCTTTTGTAGTACTGTAGTAATGTCAGCACCAACCAGAAGCTAAGGGCAAAGGATGTTAGTTGGTTTCTGACATGGCATAACTAGATGCAGGATGCAGTCAACCGTAATAGTTAGATGTGGAAGACAGTAGAAAACCACCACAATATACCTTCCAAATTAGAATACTTCCTAAATGTTAGAGCAGTATGACAACAGAACCAGGAGGTGGTGGCTGTTCCAATACTAGAACCATTGAAGAAAAAGTTAGGCAGCCATCTGTCAGATACGCTGAAGCTTGGATTCCTGCATTGAGCAGGGAGTTGGACTCAATGGCCTTACAGGCCACATTCAACTCTTATTATTCTACAATTCTGTACAGTAGGGTCTCGACTTACGAACGACCCTGCTTGCGAACAATTCAACTTACGAACCCACCCTATAGGGGAAATAAGGTCTCGAGTTACGGACAGGAAAAAAAGTGCCCCCTCCCTCCCCTTAGAGGTTTCTGGAGGGGGAAAAGGGGACAGAAACTTAAAAATAAATAAAAGAAAGTCACTTACCAGGCCTTGGTAGCCCCCAAACAGCAGGAAAAAGAGCAGGAAACAGCTAAAAGCCCACACCAGAAGGGAGCCTGGCAACCATTTTGTGATTCCCCCCCCTCCTGCACCCTCCTCTCCCCGCCTATCAGCTGATGAACTGGCTCTGAAGAGGCTTGGGAAGGCTTGCTCAGCACCTAAAAAGCCTGCCTGTGTGTCTTTGTGCTGAAAAAATCAGCACAACATGCTTTAAAACATGATTTAAAATTGGCTTCGTTGAAAAAAAAAGATTTCTAAAGTGCTTTGCAAACTGTTCCCTGCCTTCTTCCTCGTTTCCTGAACCTAAGGGAAAAAAAGAAAAAAATATCCCCCTCTAGTGGCAGAAGGCGGAATAGCAGCTTCCCATTAGTTTCTATGGACAGAAAAGAGCAGATACAGATTAAATGGTTTTCAATGCATTCCTATGGGAAATGCAGATTCGACCTACGAACTTTTCGACCTAAGAACCACCTTCCAATACGGAGTAGGTTCGTAAGTTGAGCCCCCACTGTATTTAAATCATATAATAAGAAAAGCTTAGTACTGATTACTACAGCTGATCATATAGAGGAAGTGCATTAAAAACAACCTTATACAGTAGTGCCTCGCTTAACGATTGCCTCGCTTAACAAGGAAATCGCTATACAATTAGGTTTTTGCGATCGCAAAACGATGTTTTAAATGGGATTTTTTCGTTTAACGATGATCGGTTCCCTGCTTCGGGAACCAATTTTCGCTTTACGATGATCAGCAAACAGCTGATCGTTGGGTTTCAAAATGGCCACCGGCTGAAGAAAATGGCCCCCGCTGTTTTCTAGGACGGATTCCTCGCTTTACAAGCCCCGAATATGGCCACTGTATGGAGGATCTTCGCTGGACAAGCAGGTATTCAGCCCATTGGAACGCACTGAACAGTTTTCAGTGCATTTCAATGGGTTTTTTCGTTTCATTTGACAATGTTTTCGCTCTAGAGCGATTTCGCTGGAACAAATTAACATCGTCAAGCGAGGCACCACTGTAGACTGATTTGAATGCAGCACAACAATCTAAAGTAAATGTAATCAAGAGGATGTCTGACCACCTGTACAAGAAATAGTGTGTGATAACTTTTATGTTCATATATGTGTGAACATATATATCTAGAGATAATACAGATGTGTGCGTGTGTGCTCATCACTAATTTTAGAGAATCAGTGTTGAACGCACACAGCTTTGCACAGCTCTCCGTTTTATTTTTCTTGGAGTTTGCGTGTCAGTCTTTACAGTCACTTTTTAGGATTCCTTTGCAGTCAAGCATTCTGGCACTTTGGTATGCATCAGTTAGGGAAAGAATACATACACAGGTGGCAAAAAAATATTCCTGGATTGTCACCAGCTTATATTAATAACGACAGTTTTATTTCCTAGCAGTAATCCAAAAAGAAACCACTGATGCTGATTTTCTCTGCAGCCTGCTGCAAAACAGCATTGAGAAACAGTCTTCCTTAGCAATTCTAATACTATTATGTCTGTCAGTGAAATTCCTACCTTACCCTCAAACAATGTTCTAGCATGTCATACAATCCTTTTTTAATCAGCACATTGCTTCCCAGTATGTTTTCTTATCTTGCCCTGGAGACTTATAGCAGTTTCCTGTGTTACTATCTTTTACTTAAATCCCAAATGGGCCCCACTAAGAAGTCAGACAGTGGGTGTAACTCTTCCTACAGACCTCAAATCCCTATGTGCCATATCAAAAGACACCACCTTTTCTTGTTAATGCTGTATTTTCCTTCTACTGATTCCTTCAGGTATTATTGAGCCATGCTGTGTTTACTTGAGTTACATTGAACTGAGGTCTATTTTTGCTTATTACCAACTTGAATATTACAGGAAAGTGCTTTTCTGAAATGTACTTTGCTTTCGTCCATTTCTTTTAAAGATAATTTTCCTGCATAACATGATTGGCTGTCAGATCCTATGTTCATTTAAAAGCTGTTTTAATCTTTTCCACAAAGGGGGAAAAACACCTTTTGAGCAAATAGTGTTGCTTTCTTTCAAAGAACATCTCCATTTATCAATTTATTAGCTGCACCCTTGGTGACTATAATTGCCATTCCCTGCAGCTCATCGACTAGGTCATGCAACAGTGTTCTCAGCACACAATACAAAATAATCTGTTTAATAAGCATGGAAAACATTTTTTTTAAAAAAAGCCAGTTTATTATTGTACAGCAACATGAATGCATGTGTCAAAACAACAGACTCTGTTTGAAAGATACATTAAGCTTTGATTGCTTAATTTGGCTGCTTGATTCTTCATGGGCCGCAAAAATTCAAAACAATGTTGTTTTGGCTATTAGGTTATAAAAGCAATTGAAGAAGGGTATCGCTTGCCAGCACCCATGGACTGCCCAGCAGGCCTTCACCAGCTGATGCTAGATTGCTGGCAGAAAGAGCGTGCAGAAAGGCCAAAGTTTGAACAGATAGTGGGTATTCTGGACAAGATGATTCGGAACCCCAACAGTTTGAAAACTCCTTTGGGAACCTGTAGCCGGTAGGTTATTGGTTATGTATTTCTACATCATAGGCCAGATTTCTACCCTGTGTTTTCTCCATTCACTTTAACTGTTGTTAGCTGCTGTGCAGTGCTTTGTCCACACAGCCCATGTTCAAGTTGCCTCTAGAAATCTAAGCCAGCAGGCAATCTAAGTCACATTGCATCTGGCTTGTCCTAAACTAGTCTCTTATTATGAAAAAAAGTGGTCAGAAGTGTCCATTTGATGATGATGATGATGAAAGTTTATTGCAGTTGTTTGACTCATACAAATATGCAAAGCCAAGCAATACTAAAGAGCGAGAACAAAGGAACGGAGAAAAAAACGAAGAAAAAACAGGGAGTGCATACTGTATTCAGGCATGTGCAAATTTGATAAATCAGCACTACCCAAAGAACCCTGAAGCATATTTTGGCATAATTTCATTTGTGTGTGTGTGTGTATTAGGTTATAAAAGATTGTAGTCACAGTATTTTCCAAGAACAATTAGATATGCCAAAATATGTTTCAGGGTTCTTTGAGTAGTACTGACTTTTCAAATCCTTTCCAATATATTTCTACCCTAGTTTAGACAAGAAATATTTTGGTGCAGATAACCTGCACCATTAATACAGTCTTGTTGATTCTCCTGTACAGCAATGTTTGACATGGCATGATATTGGCAATGTGACCAAAATGTGAGTTCTGCTGTGATCAGCCAAGAAATCCTAGCTGGAATGGGGCTTCAAGGCATCGTGCAGAATGACTGTGGTGTCTTCCTGAAGTTAGACTTCAAAAAGGCTGGAGGCATTTGGCTTTGGTGCTTGATTCTGTTTTGCTGCCACTACCACCCATCCATGCCATTTATCATTTATGTAAAACTTCTGAGAGAGCAAATGTGATCAGTAGTACCCAACTAGAACTCATTTTCAACCTCTCATTGTAGGAAGGTGTTATAAGCACAAAGCAGTGTTAATATTCTGGGAAGTTTTTGAATTAGAGGTGGGTTTTAAAAACTTAATCCAGACAAGATAAAGTTGCTGTTGGCTGATGAAAATGATAATCCAGGGAGATGTATACTACATTGTAGTCACAAAATAAAATCAGTCACACAGCTTGTCATTGGCTCCCGAATTTTGCAATTCTGTAGGATACTCGGAGAGGAGCAGTCACAAATAACATTTTTAATCAAGTTGTTTTCTAAAATTCCACTGCCCCTGACAGAGAAAAATATAAACAACAGTGGACTATAATGCCCTCTCTATGTAGTTGCCCTTGAAGACAGTCCAAAATGTTGGCGCAAAATGAGATTGCCAGATGTTTGGGAAATGTTAGAAAATCTTGAGCATTTTACTCAGAGCCTGTATCAATTACATTTGTTGCAATTTATTTATAAACTTAATTGAGGATGCTGAATTGAAGATTCACTTCAAGCACATTTTTTTCATTCCATAGTGCTGTGTTAAAAGTTGTGCTGCATCTTTGCGTAACAAGTATCCTACTTCCTAAGTCTTTCATTATTCATGCCTGTGTTCTAATAAGAAGGATTTGTTATTGTTCTGAGAGCTCAGGACTGTTGGAAATAAATAGGTAATGTTTAAAATACATAAGTACTACATATTAGGCAATAGACATGCACTATAGTGTTGTTGTTTGATAAAATGAAAATCATTTTGTTGTTTTTCCCTTGCAATCTAGACCAATCAGCCCTCTTCTGGATCAGAACACACCTGATTTCACAACATTTTGCTCTGTGGGAGAATGGTTGCAAGCTATCAAGATGGAAAGATATAAGGATAACTTTTCAGCTGCAGGATACAATAATCTTGAAACAGTAGCCAGGATGACTATCGAGTAGGTTAATTGTGCGTCTGTGATTTTTGTCAGTTAATCTGTGTACTGCTCTGAACTGGATTCAAATTTTTAAGATTTCTTACCAATCCAAGATTTTTAGATTTTTAAGAAAACTTTTCCTTATAGAAATAATCATTGATTCTTTTTTTTTTTTTCATTTGTGACTGATGTATGTGCTAGAGGGGGAAAATATGGTTCAAAATGACCTGCTCTGAAGATTCTGTGTAGACCAGGTTACAAGCCTGTTCCTGCTTATTTAACTACAAGGCTACTGAAAATCATTGGAGTTTATGAATAACTATGTATTTCATTGTGGTGCTGGATCTCAGATAAGATGAAAATGTCCCATGGCATGCTCCCCACTCCACCATACCTATGATTCATTAGTAGTGGACATTCTGTCTTCTTTGGAGGATTCTCTGGTACACTTCTACCAGTTTCTCTC